GCAAAATTTTATCACAAAGTGAATAAGTGAGATGGTTTGTGGGTGCATGCATGCATGATAAGTGTCACTCTTGTAATGTAGGTGCAGGCTAGGTGGCAGCCTTGGAGAAGGCATCTTTGCATGCATGTAATACGATTGGACGTGTAGGGAGGCGCCATTGAACTTGGCGAATGAGTACAAAATTAAAAGGTTTCGCCATCCCTGTTGGCGAATTATAGGTGGCATGGGTTGCAGTGTAGGTGCAGGCTAGGTGGCAACCTTGGGGAAGGCATCTCTGCATGCATGTAATACGATTGAACTTGTAGGGAGGTGCCATTGGATTTGGAGAATGAGTACAAAATTGAAAGGTGTCGCCATCCCTGTTGGCGAATTAGAGGTGGCATGGGTTGTAGTTAGGTGCAAGCTAGGTGGAAGCCTTGGAGAAGGCATCTCTGCATGCATGTAATACGATTGGACTTGTAGGGAGGCGCCATTGAACTTGGCGAATGAGTACAAAATTGAAAGGTGTCTCCATCCCTGTTAGCGAATTAGAGGGGGCATGGGTTGCAGTGTAGGTGCAGGCTAGGTGACAGCCTTGGGGAAGGCATCTCTGCATGCATGTAATATGATTGGACATCCCAGTTGATGAATTAGAGGTTGTTTACTATTGTTTTATTCAATTTCAGTACAACCTATTTAATCCTACATTTATCAAAACACTTCTACACTCAACCGCTCAAACACTAGAACACTCAAACACTTAAACCTCCAAATACTTAAACCTCCAAACCTTCAAACATTCAAACACAATGGCCTCTGCACTACAATATATGATCAGTGCATATTTCAACGGTGAGACATACATTTGTCCCACCTCTGGGTTTTTGTTTAGAGACACTGAGAACATCCGATTTTGTTTAAACATGAAATCCAATTTCTTGTATTTCAAAAAATGATTGGAAGCCAAACTTTGACGAGGTCCCGTGACACAAATCTTTTATAAGAATCTGGTTTATTTGGTAAGAACCAAATATATTTTATAAGGTTTAGGTTCAAGATGACGAGGACCTTCAGAATATATTTTCCAGTCATGAGTATTCTGGGTACGACTCTATTGAGTTGTACATTGTGCTGCGAGAGCCTCAGTTGTCACAAGTGGTTGATCCTCTCGACGCCGAACAAGCAGAAGTAGATGTCGTTGACGAAGAAGAAGAAGATGATGAGTTACAGTTTGACGACATGGTCAACGATAATTCTGAAGACGATGGGATACCTGGTATACCTTCAAACAAGATCTACACACCACCTCCACACATGACAAACTTCAACATGGGCGGAGATGAACCATCATCTGATTTATTTTTAAATCCGTATATGCAGTCGAATGAAAACTTAAAAGAGAAAGACAAATTTCGTAATAGAGAAGAATGTATCCGAGCCATAAAAAAGTTTTACATGCTCAACTCGGTCGATTTTAAGGTAGATCGTGTAAATCCAGAAAGGTACAAGATCAAGTGTATACATTATAGAAACTGGGAGAAATCATAAAAATAACTTTCTCGCTACCTAAATGCACTTCAGACTTATTCTCCGGGTACTGTTTACAATATGGAAACACTATCGGCGTACGCCCCAGATGGTAGTCAAATCACCGAAAATGGAATATTCGGTCGAGTGTTCTAGGATTTTCAACCTTGAATCACAGGGTTTGCGTCATGTAAACCAATAATTCAAATTGACGGGACTTGGTTGTATGGGAAATACAAAGGCACGCTACTGATGGCAGTTGCACAAGATGGCAACAACAATATTTTCCCAATTGCCTTTTCCCTAGTCAAGGGAGAGACTGGTGGTTCTTGGAGCTTCTTTCTCAAGAATCTACGAACACATGTGGCTCTTCAACCAGATATCTATTTGATCTCTGATAGACATGCATTAATTAAGAGTTCATACAACAATCCTACAAACATTTGGAATGAATCTCCTTCTACACATGTCTATTGCATTAGACATATCGTCCAAAATTTCACGAGGGAGATCAAAGACAAAGCTCTTAGGAAAGCGGTTATGAATGCAGGGTATGCATTAACACAATCTACGTTCAAATATTATCGCAACGAGATCCGATTGTTAAATCTGGACGCCGTTAGGTGGATCGATAACATTCTGGTTGAGAAATGGACTAGGTCATATGACAATGGACAATGATGGGGCCACATGACAACAAATATGATTGAATCCATGAACGGGGTATTCAAAGGCATATGAAACCTCTCAGTAACTGCTTTGGTTAAATCAACATATTTTAGGATGGCTTTGTTTTTTCCAAAAGAGGTGAAATGTGGAATGTTGTGTTGCAATTGGGACAACTATGGAGTAAAAGTTACATGAAGTATAATAAGGCAGAAAGTACCAAAGCCAACACCCATCTGGTTATACGGTTCGACCGACACAGCCACAACTTCATTGTCAAAGAGACAATCGACCACAACAAGGGGTTTCCAAGACAAGAGTATAGGGTTATACTACCTTCTCGTTGGTGCGATTGTGGCAAGTTTCAAGACTTTCGTATGCCTTGCTCTCATGTCATTATTGCGTGTGCCTATACTCATCAAGACGTATTACAACTTTTGTCTCCCATTTACAAGTCTGAAACCTTGTTCAACGTATACAACAACAGCTTCCCCTTTGGTAGCAAAAACTGATTATTGGCCTACATACGATGGCAAAATAGTATGGCACAATGACCAAATGCGAAGGAATAAAAAGGGTCGTCCCAAAAACAAGTGCATCACAACTGAAATGAACTTCCTTGACAAGCTGGAAAGAAAGTGTAGTTTATGTCGTCAGGTCGGACACAATCACAAAAATTGTCCGACTCGGGCTACTAGCTCAACCACATAAAAATTGATTACAAAACATCTTTACTTTTTAAAGTTATAAACATTACGTTTTTCATTAAGAGTATTTGTTACAACAAACCTTGCGCAAACAACAAATAAAACATGATAAAACGTCTATGAAATTACAACTGTTAAAACAATTTCATCTGACCCATGCATCATCAACATTACGTCGCTGTCTGTTTTGACTTCCTCCAACAAAAAATTAGGTCTTCCTGTTGCAAGTGGGGTGGTTGTTCTTCTTCGCTGAATCCTTCTAATTTATTCTCCATCCTCGATGTCCCCCTCTAGCCATCGCACCAACTCTCTCTTTAGACGCTTCATGAAGTGAATGTGCCAAAATTTCATTTTCATCGGAGGTTTGGTGGTCGAGAAAATAACGTAACCATCTCTGATAAAAATCATGGGAGATGTCATGACGCAAATAACAGAGAAAAAAATAAGAAGAAAGTGCGAGAAAGTGTGAAGAATGACGGAGAAACGGAGGAATTATTTATAAAAAATGCATTTTGCCCTAGGAGCCAAATGAGATGGCGCCTCCTCTCACTTTTAGAGTGCATGCGCCATCTCACTTAGTTAAAAGAGAGTGCATGCGCCTAGGACAAATGGGTCAATGCATGCGCCATCTCACTTGGTTCCTCCTTTGTGGGGTTTTCTAAAACATAATTATTTGTGTAATTTTCTCCTAAACATAGTTATTTGCGATTTTTTTTTAATACTTAATTATTACAAAAAAAAATTTAAACATTACTAAGTTTATTTTAGGATATATGTGAAAATTTATTTTTAATACGTGGACACAAGTATGCATTACTCATAAATAAAAAGTTTGGGATATATGTGAAAATTTTATTTTGAAAATTGTGCATACATTAATTTGATTAAAAATTTATTATTTTATTTATTTTTTCAACAAAAACTTTTGATTAATAGCTTTCTAATATGTGGATACAAGTAAGCATTACTTATTTTAAAATATTTTTGTGATTTGATATAATAAACATTGTTTATTGAATATCCGTATAAAATTATTTTACGGTGACATATTTTCTTTTAATAAAAAATATATTTTTAAATATGATAAAATAGAAGGTCAGAAATATAATTAAATCTATTTTAAAAATCATATAATTAAAAAAAGTACTCAAATGTTAGAAAACATTATAATATTTATAAAAAATTTATAATTATTTCTAAAATTTTCAATTCAAAGTTTAAATATGTAAAAAAAATAACAAACAGTAATGCAATTCTCACATTCCAATTAGAGTGTATTGTGAATTGAGTTTTTAAAAATACAATTATGTCAAGTTATATATTTGGTGTTAATGGATACTAAATCATATTATTCTTGATTGTATATTTAAATCTATAATTAAGATTGATTTTGAAATTATTTTGAACACATTAATCTTTTTTTCTTCTTACAAATTGCCTGCTGCTTTTCTAGTTAGTTTTAAATTTAGAACATAAAATTTTAATTAATTAATTTTAAAAGGATTTTAAACCTACCACACTAAAATCCATTTAAAACTAATTAACCAACATTTTTATGTTTTAAGTTTCATTTAATTTAATTTACAAAATAAAACCTCATGTCTTTATAATCTAAAGGGTAAAATAGCTATCAAGTTTTTAATTTGATTTTCAAAATTAATTATTGCAATTTTTAATAAGTTAAAGGGCAAAATAGTTATTTAACCCTTAAACCTAACGGGTAAAGAGATTTTAATTATAATTATTTTTTAATAATCTAAAATATTTACAAAATAAAACCTCCTGTACTATTTCGGTTAAATATCTCTTATATAATACTCCCTCCGCTCTCATTTATAAGAAAAAATTAACTTTTTATATACATTGAATAAGTAATGTATTTGCTAAAAAATATTCACTGTTAATACATTTTTGCTAAAAAAACATTATTTTATGTAGAAAAATGAGGATAAGAGTGAGTTAAGACATAATTGATTTAGAATCTTAGAAATGGGAGAAATTGTAGCATTTTATTTAATGATAGGATAAGGTCAAAATAATTATTTCTCTATATAAATATGTATATTAGAAACCCTAATATCTCACTATTCCAAACCCTAATATTTGTTTCCAAATTTCATCATGGATATGGCTAATCAAAAAAGGAAAAGCTCTATGGATATGGCTGGTCAAAAAAGAAAAAACACAGGTCGCAAAAAGATTGAGATCAAAAAACTTGACAAAGAATCCAACAAACAAGTCACATTTTCAAAAAGAAGACAAGGTTTATTCAAAAAAGCAAGTGAACTTTGTATCCTATGTGATGTTCATGCATCCATCATTGTTTTTTCTAGTGCTCACAAACTCTTTTGTTTCGGTCATCCCGATACCGACGCGATTATCAATAGTTATGCCAACGGAACCCTCGAGTTCGAGAGATCAAAGTTAGAAGGAAGTTCTTTGATTTACGAAGAGTGTAATAAAAAATATGAAGAAGTGTTGAAGGTGTTGGAGAGGGAGAAGAAGGAACTTGTGGAAGCTGAAAAGTTGGCTAGGGTTTGTAAAAGAGGTGATTGGTGGAATGAAGATACTGATAATATGAGTATTGATCAGCTTCAACAATTTATGATTTCTATTTATGAGTTTCGAGGCAAGCTTCTTGAAAAGGATCATCAACGTATGATGAAGCTTGCCATGTTGGAGAATTATTAGCTTAGATCAATGCGTTTTTTTAATAGCTTGGTTTATTTTGTTGCCTTTTTTATTACACTAAGAATACGTTTTTTTTTTTTTTGGTTTTTTCTTTTAATAGTTTCGTTTATTTTGTTAGTTTTTTTATAACTAACTTAATACTAAATAATAATATTTGTGTTTTTTAAGAGAAAGTTTTACTAATATTGATGATTTAGTTTGAATCCGTAATTTTATGTGTTTAACCAAAGTATTAGACTATACAATTATAAATCTGTTATTTGTTAATTAATTTGTCTATCAACAATTTGTATATGGTAATTGAGATTTTGTTTAATGGTAATTAGTTTTGGATTGTTCTTATACTATTTGTTTGTTTAATTTTTTTATAATATAAAAAATTATTTCAATTCGTTATGAATTTGATTTTTTTTTAATAAGATTAACAATAATAAAAAATAACGGATACAAATAAGAGACTATACCAAAACTCTCTCATGGTAAAATGAACTTAAAGATCTGCTCTCAAAAAATCTGATATCGAATTGAAGTTAGTGTAATTTGTTACCGTATGTTCTATGTTAGCAAGAGAGTCCGCGCAACTATTCCCTTATCTGTAAATATGTGAAGCCACAAAAGACATACTTGCAGAGATATTAACACAATTAACTCATCTTGTACGAATTTGTCAAGGCACATTGAAAGGAGGATTGAAAGCTTGAACCACAGTAATAGAGTTCGACTCTAACCAAATATTTCTCCAACCCTCCTCATGAGCGAACTCAATTGCTGACATAACACCAAAGAATTCGGAAATAAGAGAGTTAGAAACACCAAGAAAAGAAGCAAAAGCTCCAAAAAAAACTACCATTAGAATCTCTAGCAATACCTCCACAAGCAGAGGGACTTGAGTTTCCTAAAGATGCCCTATCACAATTAATTTTAATCCAATCCCAAGGAGGCGATTTCTAAATAATTTCCCGAATCATGGGAGTACAAGGAGGCTGAATTCTGACTCTGAAGTACTTCAACATTTCAAAGTCATGAATATTAATAAAAGAATGAGTTTTGTAATTGTTTCTAACCAACCCACAAACCGAGATAATTGCATAAATAGAAGAAGTATAGATTCTTTTATCTTTAAATCTGACACTATTTCGGGAAAATCAAACAACATGCAACATATGGATAACCACAACATTAAAGATTAACTTACGTTGGTCCGACCAAGTTTGGTTGCAAAGATTCCAAATGTATTCCCAATTTTTAATCTGAATATTAACTTTCAAAGCTTTGATCAACCAATTCCAAAGGCAAGAAGCATAGGCACACTCAAGAAGAGGTGAGTAGGATTTTCTTCAGCAACAGAACAAAGACTACAAATTTAAGAGAAAGCAAAATTATTTTTCCTACGTTGTTCATCCGTGGAGAGTTTATTAAGGAGAAACCTCTAAACCATGAAGGATTTAGAAGGAGAAATCAAACCCACTTCCACAAATCTATAAGGAAACCCGGGTCACGCTTAAAATCATACGCGGCTTTGAGGGTAAGCTCCCCCAAAGATATGTGGTTCCAAATCCTTTTATCGGACAAAGATAAAAAAGAATATAACAAATTTGAATTCTAACCTTAAGCGAATATGATATATGACTATTAGCGCCCAAAAATTTCCATCTCTGATCTATGATGAAAGAGCTAACCAACAAATCATTAGGCAGAAACCGATTCCCCATCTCCAAGTGTAAAGGCTCCCCACGCCAAGAATTAAATCAAAACTAATCAAATTATCGTTGCCAAGAATCCAAGAAGAGTTATCGCAGATTAGGGGAATCTCAAATTTGATACTAGACCAAATCGAAGAGAAGACATGATGGTTGATGAATTTATTGTCCCTCATAACCCGGCTCCTGAGAATTTTAGCCCAAGGGTCGTCTGAATTCATAAACTCCCAACCAAGATTAAGATTAGAAGCCTCATTCAAAGCAACCAAAGATCTAATCCCAAATCCACCTTCAAAAACATGTAATCTTTAAAACAACAGAATAATCTTTGAAAACATTAACAAGAGCGTTGAAGTTAGAAACACTACTTTACAAAAGATTAGGACATTGTCCGCATAGAAAATGTGAGAAGGGACCCTTATATTCCTTCGCCTCGTGATCAAATCAAGAGAACTAGACTCAACCAACTTGTTAATATTTCTGCTAAGCACTTATTCTACGAGACAAAAAAGAATAGGAGAAAGCGGGTCTCCTTGGGGAACCCCTCTGGTACAATTAAAGAAACCATGAAAAGAGGGGTTGATAGATATAGACAACCAAGCAGAACTTAGAATATTATTAATCCACTAACAAAAATCTTAATTGAAACCAAACTTCTACAAAACCTTGAGGAGAAATTGGTAATTTAAAGTATCAAAAGCCTTCCTTATATCCACCTTGAGCGCCACATTACCACACCAAGATTTAGAATCAAGCAAATTTAATGCTTCAGAAGCCATTGTAATGCAATCTTTAATATTTCTACTTTGGATGAATCCTCATTTCTCATGAGAAACCAAATGGGGCATAAGAGGCGCATTTCTCGCCACAATAATCTTGAACTTAAAATTAGAGAGAGCAATAGGTCGGAATTGATCCAAAGAATCCACACTATCACATTTTGGAATGAGCACCAATGAATTCGAGTTGTAGTAGTGAGGAATCCACCCAGAAGAGAAGAATTGGATAACAACATCAAAACATGATTCTCAATAATATCCTAGTAACTTTGAAAGAAGGTTGCCCCAAAACCGTTGTGATTAGGTGTGATGTTGCTATTAAGGGAGAAAATTGTAGCTTTTATCTCCTTCAAAGAAGGAAGCATAGGAAGCAGGGCATTCATATCATCATCCACCAAACTGGGAATATAACTTTTCACCAAGGAGAGATCCTGTAAAATAGAAACGTTAGTAGCAAAAATATTCTGGAAGTAGTTCACGGTGTGGGAAGAAATTTGGACCGGATCCGTGAAAATATCATCCCCATGTCTTAGAATAGATATAGGCTTGAGAGAGGTCCTAACTTTAGCAATTCGATGGACGAAATCTGTATTCCGATCTCCTTCAAGATGCCACTTAATTCTAGATTTATTCTTCCAAAAACATTCCTCCATGTCCAGAGCAAGAGATAGATTGTCTTGGGCCTCCATTTCTTGTTTATTGAAGTTATTATTTGTCCCTGAGTTCTGAGTTTGGACCTGAATCCGATCCATATTAGCTTCAGCCAAAATGACATTTTGAGTTACATTCCCGAAAGTTGAATGTGATTCCAGATTTTGAGACTTTTTTAAGTATTTAAGATGAATTTCCAAGATTTTCCCACTAAGGACTTAAGGGAAAATAACCTAAAGGAATGGTAATTGAATGTTATGAACTTGTTGAAGAAATCAGGATTCAAGGTTATTACAGGGAAAATCATACACATTTCCTAGTATGTTACTCATATCTATCAAAACAGTCCTTCGTATCTATTTATTTTATTCACAATTATTTGATTTTAGAAAATCAACCCCAAACTCTAGTTTTTGTTTAATTGAACAACAATTCAAACTCAATATTTATACGCAGTCCTTAAGATCGACATTCGGGGAAATTTTCTAATTATTATTGCAGAGGTAAAATAATACACTTGTTATTTTTCCGATCAAGTTTTTGGCGGCGTTATCGGGGACTGCCAAAATATAGAGTTCTAATTTTAGTTTAATTGAAATTTTGCTACTCGTAAACTAAAATTTTGTTTTAGTTTTTTAAAGTTGAACTTTATTTATTATAAAAAAAAAGGTCAAATTATTGTTGCTTTTTGAATCCTTCTATACTTTGCTGCTAATGAAGTGTCCGAGTTTTGCAACCATGTATTGTTTTTATACATTGCCATCTATATCTCCTGCATGTTGGTCGCCTGATTTGGGTATCACTTTGGAAGAGGCGACTAAAATTTTTAAGGCATATAAGAGGGAGGTAAGAATTCTTATGAATGAATGTAAGGAGGCTAAATGTTATCCAGATAGGTATATTTGGCGAGCGGTAAAGTTGAAAGAAGAATATGTGAAATTAAAAGAAGAATGCATAACATCAGATGAAAAAGATACATTAAGAATAGAAGAATTTGAGGTAAACAAGAGACATGGGGAAGGAGAAATAAGGCAACTTAAAGATGATCTAGTTCTGGATGAAACTACGAAGTTAACATTTGTGAAGATGTAGACATCCAACAAGATAATCTTCAACAAAAGAGTATCCCTAAAAACTATTTTCATTACAAGGAAAATGAAAAACAAGAAATTGACAAAGTATTAGATGTCATTCATGCCTTGTTCAATAAAATTAAATTGAAAATGATTTGGAAACAACCTCATCAATACTGTAAGTTTATGGGATTGCTACCAAACAAAAGAAAGAAAAAAGATTATGTGTTCTTTGTGTCATATAAGCCAAACTAAGTGCTTTGTGGGAGGCAACCCCACGCTTTTATTGACTTAACTTTTTCTGTTTATTATTTGTTTTAGTTTTATGTAATAAAAAGGGGGCCTTACTGGTGGAAGCTAGGAGGCAACAATGGTGTTGCATTACCCTCTATGAGTCACCCTTCTCGATCGGGTTCTGAAACATTGGGGCTAATGCTTAGTTCAAGTTTGGGGGGATTTTATGTTTTCTACTTTGTGGTTTATTTGTTTGTTTTATGCTATTTGCTTGGTAAAACCACACGTTGAAGTTCGTCCCAAATTTTGACCGAAATTTCTTATTTTGTTATACACAAGAGCTTGTAATTCAAAGAGATCGAGAATAGTATATAGAGATAAAGGGATGATTGTTTGAGGGTAGGAAGGTCAGAATAATGTGACAGTGATACAAGTCAGACGTGTAGAGTTTTATCATAGTATTTAAATCCTGAGAAGTACTCCTTGAGTAATTTATTTTAACAATCCGGCATAATCTAGATTCACATGCACGTATGTTGATTGAGAAATAAATAATTTTGGCA